TCCCAGCCCAGCCTACTGCTGCCTCAACGCCTGTCCATGCTCCTCCCACGCTTGGTGCAACTGGTGATGCCTCAATTCCAGCAGCTGCCACGGCCTTCACGGCAGCGGAGGCGAACCAGCAAACGGACGAGGATGAGGCGATCATCATGCCTACAGGTAAAATTTGCTCCTGTTCATTCCGCCCTTTAGTTTGCAGCTAAATCCGATGAGTAACCCAATTCTGGCGGTTCTTGCAGCTTATACCGCTGTTGGTACCCGGCTGTTTAAGCGAGCCGCTGGCGTCGAGACAAACGGTGGGGTGGATCTGCTCTACAGCGAGAAAGGCCGGAAGGTGTCAAGGCTCAATGACGATGTTCGTCTGCGAAACACGCAGCTTGAGGAGGAAGCACTTGCTTCTAGAGACGAACTTCAACGACAGACGGTGGTCACCACTACGTCGCTGAGGGCGGTAGAGAACTTGGCCAACCAAATGGAGAAGAAGGTTCTCACGGACAAGCGCGTTAATGTAAGTATCCATTCCGCCCTTCACAAGTCTGTGTGTTCGCTTCCCCCCTTTCCCTCCTCCCATCATGTCCCTTGTTCCCTCTCCGCCCATCCCTTGATCCAGCTCTACCCATCCTTCCATCCCCATCCCTCATGCCCTCGTCCCATCTGCCCATCCCTTCATAACTTTTTGCCCTTCCCCCCTTCTCCCTCTCTACATCCCTTCATCCCGCCCATCCCTTCATCCCGCCCATCCCTTCATCCCGCCCATCCCTTCATCCCGCCCATCCCTTCATCCCGCCCATCCCTTCATCCCGCCCATCCCTTCATCCCGCCCATCCCTTCATCCCGCCCATCCCTTCATCCCGCCCATCCCTTCATCCCGCCCATCCCTTCATCCCGCCCATCCCTTCATCCCGCCCATCCCTTCATCCCGCCCATCCCTTCATCCCTCCCATCCCTTCATCCCGCCCATCCCTTCATCCCGCCCATCCCTTCATCCCGCCCATCCCTTCATCCCGCCCATCCCTTCCCTTCATCCCGCCCATCCCTTCATCCCTCCCATCCCTTCATCCCGCCCATCCCTTCATCCCTCCCATCCCTTCATCCCGCCCATCCCTTCATCCCGCCCATCCCTTCATCCCGCCCATCCCTTCATCCCGCCCATCCCTTCATCCCGCCCATCCCTTCATCCCTCCCATCCCTTCATCCCGCCCATCCCTTCATCCCCCCCATCCCTTCATCCCGTGCAGGACATCATGAAGCAGGCAGTTAGCCTCACCATCAGCAAGCCCCCGTACATTAACTATGCTCCAGATGAAGCCCACTGGCTGACCCTCTTTGTTGGTATGTGATGCAGCGATTTTGCTATCAAATTTTGCCTCTGTCCCTTAATTCAACGTGGTGTTCTTTTTCAGAGTCACGATTTGTTGTTTCAACCTTACCTGGTCAGATCTACTCGCCACCCGTTTTCTACTGCTGTGCAGAGCTGGCAAACGTGCAGCCACTCTCAGAAACCGCATTCAAGCTTAAGCTTGAATTATCAAACTCTGATGCCTTAGAGCGGACTGCCAAAATGTTCAACAACAGGTTTGGGAAAAGGCTTTCCAACCTCAGGCTCGGAGCTCTCCTTAACTCCCCTCTTAAGCTAATCAAGGCTGTGATAAACAGCGACGGGAAGAAGTGCTACAAGAAGGACACTGAGTTCGCACTTGCATGTGTGAAGTGGGTTGCTGAGAACGCAATTGGTGAGTAGTTACTCTCCTGCTCTCTTGATCGTTGTCACACACCTGGTGCTAGCCTAAACTCCCTTGTTGTTTGCAGATGACACAGGGATCCCTTGGCATGAGTGGTTGGGCGTCCCGTTCTCGAGCCCTGCCTTTCTTGCGGTGGGGAAAGTGTGGACAGGGAAGGCTGGTCCGGTCGTAGCGCTGCACCGACATCAGCTCACCCTCACAATGGCCGTGGTGAGCCCACAGCTCTTCCTGTCCGTCCCTTCATCCCTCCCTGCCCGTCCCTTCATCCCTTCCTGCCCGTCACTGCATCCCTCCCTGCCCGTCACTGCATCCCTCCCTGCCCGTCCCTTCATCTCTCCCTGCCCGTCCCTTCATCCCTCCCTGCCCGTCCCTTCATCTCTCCCTGCCCGTCCCTTCATCCCTCCCTGCCCGTCCCTTCATCCCTTCCTGCCCGTCACTGCATTCCTCCCTGCCCGTCACTGCATCCCTCCCTGCCCGTCCCTTCATCTCTCCCTGCCCGTCCCTTCATCCCTCCCTGCCCGTCCCTTCATCCCTTCCTGCCCGTCACTGCATCCCTCCCTGCCCGTCACTGCATCCCTCCCTGCCCGTCCCTTCATCTCTCCCTGCCCGTCCCTTCATCCCTCCCTGCCCGTCCCTTCATCCCTCCCTGCCCGTCCCTTCATCCCTCCCTGCCCGTCACTGCATCCCTCCCTGCCCGTCCCTTCATCCCTCCCTGCCCGTCACTGCATCCCTCCCTGCCCGTCCCTTCATCCCTCCCTGCCCGTCCCTTCATCTCTCCCTGCCCGTCCTTTCATCCCTCCCTGCCCGTCCCTTCATCCCTCCCTGCCCGTCACTGCATCCCTCCCTGCCCGTCCCTTCATCCCTCCCTGCCCGTCACTTCATCCCTCCCTGCCCGTCACTGCATCCCTCCCTGCCCGTCCCTTCATCCCTCCCTGCCCGTCCCTTCATCTCTCCCTGCCCGTCCTTTCATCCCTCCCTGCCCGTCCCTTCATCCCTCCCTGCCCGTCCCTTCATCCCTCCCTGCCCGTCCCTTCATCCCTCCCTGCCCGTCACTGCATCCCTCCCTGCCCGTCACTGCATCCCTCCCTGCCCGTCCCTTCATCCCTCCCTGCCCGTCACTGCATCCCTCCCTGCCCGTCCCTTCATCCCTCCCTGCCCGTCCTTTCATCCCTCCCTGCCCGTCCTTTCATCCCTCCCTGCCCATCCCTTCATCCCTCCCTGCCCGTCCCTTCATCCCTCCCTGCCCGTCCCTTCATCCCTCCCTGCCCGTCCCTTCATCCCTTCCTGCCCGTCACTGCATCCCTCCCTGCCCGTCCCTTCATCCCTCCCTGCCCGTCACTGCATCCCTCCCTGCCCGTCCCTTCATCCCTCCCTGCCCGTCCCTTCATCTCTCCCTGCCCGTCCCTTCATCCCTCCCTGCCCGTCACTGCATCCCTCCCTGCCCGTCACTGCATCCCTCCCTGCCCGTCCCTTCATCCCTCCCTGCCCGTCACTGCATCCCTCCCTGCCCGTCCCTTCATCTCTCCCTGCCCGTCCCTTCATCCCTCCCTGCCCGTCCCTTCATCCCTTCCTGCCCGTCACTGCATCCCTCCCTGCCCGTCCCTTCATCCCTCCCTGCCCGTCACTTCATCCCTCCCTGCCCGTCCCTTCATCCCTCCCTGCCCGTCCCTTCATCCCTTCCTGCCCGTCACTGCATCCCTTCCTGCCCGTCCCTTCATCCCTCCCTGCCCGTCACTTCATCCCTCCCTGCCCGTCCCTTCATCCCTCCCTGCCCGTCCCTTCATCCCTTCCTGCCCGTCACTGCATCCCTCCCTGCCCGTCACTGCATCCCTCCCTGCCCGTCCCTTCATCTCTCCCTGCCCGTCCCTTCATCCCTCCCTGCCCGTCCCTTCATCTCTCCCTGCCCGTCCCTTCATCCCTCCCTGCCCGTCCCTTCATCCCTCCCTGCCCGTCCCTTCATCCCTCCCTGCCCGTCACTGCATCCCTCCCTGCCCGTCCCTTCATCCCTCCCTGCCCGTCCCTTCATCCCTCCCTGCCCGTCACTGCATCCCTCCCTGCCCGTCCCTTCATCCCTCCCTGCCCGTCACTGCATCCCTCCCTGCCCGTCCCTTCATCCCTCGCTGCCCGTCCCTTCATCCCTCCCTGCCCGTCCCTTCATCCCTCCCTGCCCGTCCCTTCATCCCTCCCTGCCCGTCACTGCATCCCTCCCTGCCCGTCCCTTCATCCCTCCCTGCCCGTCCCTTCATCCCTCCCTGCCCGTCACTGCATCCCTCCCTGCCCGTCCCTTCATCCCTCCCTGCCCGTCACTGCATCCCTCCCTGCCCGTCCCTTCATCCCTCCCTGCCCGTCCCTTCATCCCTCCCTGCCCGTCCCCTCATTCTGCCCTTCCTGCCACTTTATCCCTCCCTCCCCATCCCTCATTCTCTCTCATCCCATCTGCCCATCCCTTCATCCCTTTTTGCCCTCCCCCCCTTCCCTCTCATCCCATCTCTTGATCCCTCCCTTCCCATCCCTCCATCCCTCTCTCCCCATCGCTCCTTTCCTCCTTCTCATCCTTCCATCCCTCTCTGCCCATCCCTTCATTCCTCTCTGCCCATTCCCCTGCCCCTCTCTCTCCATCCCTTCATCCCTCCCTTCCCATCCCTTCATCCCTCTCTCTGCCCATCCCTCCTTCCCTCTTGATCTGCAGATTCGTCACAAGTTGCGCAATCCGAACATGGCACGCGTTCAGCTAGAAAGGTCTGGAGATCCTGATGCCCTCGGAAGGCAGGAGCGCGTCGTTCAGCGCCTGCTCAACCGGTTCCAGGCCACCAAGTACAACGGCAACAACTACTTCATCGGCAAGCTGTACCTCATGGATTGGGTGGATGTCCCAGAGAACATCCTGGCCCTTGATTTCGTGGGGGACCGTGACGTAGATGATGTGGTTGAAGGCGACCTGAATGGAGAGGGTGTGGAGGTTATTTTCTGAAGGGAGCGATGGGGCAGGTGGAGAAGGTCATGTTGCATCTGGATGTGCTTCATGATCAGGGATGTGATTCAGAAGTGCTGCTGTTTTGGAAGTTGATTACGGTTTGTCTTTCATGTTGGATGAGGAGGTATTGTTGAGGGTTGTTTTTCATTGCCAATAATATCTGTTATGGTTTGCGGGTTTAATAATGAATGGAATAATAACGACCTAAACCCTGAGTAATACAATTTTTCAAATCGAGCTATATAAATATTGTCAAAAATTTATTCAGTTATATATATCAAATATACGTACAACATAAGTGTTTAATTTACTGTCCAGTGATTACAACTCGTGGCACAAAAGATGTCCATTGCAGCGAAAGTCTAATAACAAAATTGGCGAGTCGAAGCAATACGATCGCAACTCTCCTTCGACGTGCACACCGAACCCCAATTTCCGAACCGAATTGCTCGACGCGATTCGGTTTGGTTGGGAATGTTGCGGGAAAGACGAAGACGTTCTTGAGGACGACTCGCCAATTCCCAGACAACCCCCTCCGAAGCAAGGGACTTTCCCCCAACACACCTTCGACTTGAAAAACCTTTCCCCCCCTTCTCCGATGTTGGCATACTATGGATGGGAGTCACAAGGACGCGTTTAGATGGAAGAAAGCGTCGCACAAGCGAATCCGGGGTCAGCAGGTGAAAAGGTATTGTGACGTCACTCGTGCTGCCTTCTTGGTATCGTATTCACTTGCTCTCTTGCTCGCTCCCTTTCTTTCTCTTTGAATGTCCCTCGTGCTTCCTCTCTCAATCTCTCACTCTCTCACTCTCGCGCGGTCTTGCTCTCTCACACCCCTGCTCTCTTGCTCTCTTGCCCGCGTACATTCTTGCCTTTTTCTCTCTTCTTTTCTCTTCTCATGAGCCAGCGCTTATAATCTGCACCTTCACGTTCTCAGCTCCACCCAGCGCCAGCAGTGCTTGACGCATGCTTGACATGTGCTTGAAACTGCCACGTGTTGGGCCGCCATCCGCCCATGCGTTATCTGGCAGCTTGGCTGTTTTGGAAGCAGCAGCTGCTTTTGAGTAACATCTCATAAGCATGCCTTTGTATCGATTGGCAGCTTATCAGTCTTACTAGCAGCAGCTGCCGCTGTCTGGCTCCAGCCTCTTAAAACACGTTGAGCCCTCTTCTCTCCCATCCCCCTCCCCCCTCCATCCCCTCCCCCCCACCCCTTCCCACCCACGCTCATCCCTGCAGGCTGTACTTCGTGTGTGCGTGCAAGCAATCGACAGGCTGCCCGGCGCGGAAGGTGGAGGACCGCGTGGCGGGAGAGGCCCGGCCCCAACGCCCATATCGGAGAGGCGGAGCCTCAAAAGCTGCTGCAGCCAGGGGTAGCGGTGCAGGGCGGGGTGAGACTGGAGAGGCAGCAGCCATGACTGCGGCAGGCAGTGCAGCGGCTCCAGGCAGGGGTGAGACTGGAGAGGCAGCGCCATTGGCTGTAGGTGAGGGAGAGGATGCAGGGGCGCCTGGCTTGGCCACAGATGCTGCAGCAGCAGCAGCCGGACATGCATTGGGACGTGCAGTTGAAGAGAACCCTGGGTTGCAGAGGACTGAGATGCGAGTAGTGGTGCGCGTGATGTACCGCTGCGCACACAACCACCCCCCACCAACCCCGAATGCTCTTGAGTTGACAAAAAAGTATAGCCACCCTCCACCAGATCCGAATGCTCCCCAGGATCGTGCTGCTGGTTCTCCTGCTACAGCCTTCTCTCTGGCTACAGCCTTCCCTCCCGATACAGTCATCCCTCCTGCTATTGCCTTCCATATTGCTACAAACTTCCCTCCTGCCACAACCTTTCCTACAGCTACAACCTCCCCTCCTGCTCCAACATTCCCTATTGTCACAAACCCCCATCCTGGCATGACCTTCCCTCCTGCTACAACCTTTATTCATACCACAACCTTCGCTGCTGCTACAGCCTCACAGTCGCCTCCACGATCACTCTCACCAGCATCTCGCACAGAAGCTGCAAGCCTCCCACTTGATCCTCATGGCGGATCCTTCCACGTGCCTTCCTTCCCTGCACCTGTCAACATGGTTACAGCACTCTATTCAAGCCTCGTGACCCCTCCTCGTCCTTCTCCTTCTCCTCCCCTTCCTCCTCCTATTCCTTCTGTCTCTCCCCCTCCTCATTCTCCTTCCCCCAGCCCTCCCGTTTCCACCTCTCCATCACTATCCACCACTAGCTTCCCTCTGGCCGCCAAGCCCTATCAACCCGTGCTGCTTCAAGCATGCCCCTCCACGGCAGCTGCTTGTCACCCAGAGCACACAGCTTTCGCTTCTGCCACGGCTGGATTTGCCTCCAGCCTTGCCCCTGCTTCTACTGCTGCTACAAATGGCTCTGAATCCAACCTTGCTCCTGCTCCTGTTTCTGCTTCTGCCACAGCCGGCTTTTCCTCCAACCTCGCTCTTGCTTCTGCTCCTCCTTCAGCTAGCTTTAGCTCCAACATCGCTCTTGCTTCTGCTCCTTCTACAGCTGGCTTTAGCTCCAACCTCGCTCTTGCTTCTGCTCCTTCTACAACTGGCTTTAGCTCCAACCTCGCTCTTGCTTCTGCTCCTTCTACAGCTGGCTTTACCTCCAACCTCGCTCTTGCTTCTGCTCCTGCTACATCTGGCTTTGGCTCCAGCCTCGGTCTTGCTGGCCTGCCTTCCTTCCTGCTGCCCCACTACCTCCCGCCAATTCGTTCTCCACCGCTGCTTCCTCCGCTTCCTCCTCGCACCAGGCAGTCAGCTCGAGAGCCTGGAGCGGGCAGCAACATGCGAGCAGCAGTGCTATGGAGCGGCCAAGGCATGGCTATGATGAATCCTCTGCACGGTGTCGTGCCGGATGCACAGTTTGCTGTGTCTCCCATTATTACCTTGGAGGCCTCTCCACCTTCGTTTCTAGCTGATGAGATGGTCTCAGCAACAGAGCTAATTACTGGCTCCCACCATGGCACCATGCCATGCTCTTCCAATCAAGGCAGCCTGCCTTGTTCGTGTCGCCATGACCTGGTGTCACGAGCAACTGGATTAACACCGTCACCACTACCGTTAGTATCACCACCTGCACCATCATTCGCACCATCTGCAGCAGCTGCATCAGCATCAGCACTAACAGCACCACCAGCCGCACCATCCACAGCAGCATCAACAGCACCATCAGCCGCACCTTCCACAGCTGCCCAAACAGCGCCAGCTACCAGCACATACATATGCTGGGCGCCAGCGTTAGCAACACCCGCAACAGCGACAGCAGAAGCACTAGCAACAGCAACAGGAGCAGCAGCAGCAACAACACTGGCAGAAGGGGCAGTACCAGCAGCGGATCCAAGAACCACACTAATTGCACCAGCTTCATCAGTAGAGGAGACCCGCCAGCTTGCTTCGAACCCAACACTTGGCTCGAGCACTGGTAACCATGCTGTAAGACTTACACCTGCTGCAGCAGCATCCTGCTCACCTTTGAAGCCTGACGAATTCTGGCTGAGTCTCGAAGAGCTGGAGGTTAGAAACAAGCTGGAGCAGTGGCAGCTAGCACAACGGGTGCAACAGTTGCAGCTAGAGTCGAAGCAGCAACTGTGGCAGGACAATCTGCAGGCACTACAGCAGTGCAATCTTCAGCAGGACCAATTGAGCCAGCAGCTATCTCAGCAGCAGCAGCAGCAGCAGCAAAATCAACAGCAACAGCAACATCAGTCACAGTTGCGGCGGCAGAAACAGCAGTGGCAGCAGCAGGAATGTCATCATCATCATCAGCAGCAGCAGCAGCAGCAGCAGCAGCAGCAGCAGCAGCAGCAGCAGCAGCAGCAGCAGCAGCAGCAGCAGCAGCAGCAGCAGAAGCAGCAGCAGCAGCATCAGTCGCTGCTGCGGCAGCAGAAACACCAGTGGCAGCAGCTTCAGCAGCAACAGCAACAGCACTGGCAGCAGCAGGAATATCATCATCATCAGCAGCAGCAGCAGCAGCAGCAGCAGCAGCAGCAGCAGCAGCAGCGGCAGGAGCAGGCGCAGGAGCGAAAGAAGCGGCAGCAGTGTCAGCAGCAGTGGCAGCAGCAGCAGGAGCAGCAGGAGCAGCAGGAGCAGCAGCATCAGCACCAGCACCAGCACCAGCAGCAGCAGCAGCAGCAGCAGCAGCAGCAGCAGCAGCAGCAGCAGCAGCAGCAGCAGCAGCAGCAGCAGCAGCAGCAGCAGCAGCAGCAGCAGCAGCAGCAGCAGCAGCAGCAGCAGCAGCAGCAGCAGCAGCAGCAGCAGCAGCAGCAGCAGCAGCAGCAGCAGCAGCAGCAGGAGCAGCAGGAGCAGCAGCACCAGCAGCAGCACCAGCAGCAGCTCCAGCTGCAGCCGCAGCAGCAACAGGCCCTCTCGTATCTTCTCTGCACAGAGCAGCTCGCACCACAAGCAAGTTTCTATGCGCCTGCCGATTCTGCTTCTGATGTTACACGTGTTCCTATGGGTATGGAACACAGTCTTACAGCTGTCGCACACGTTCCTGCAGCTGTAGCACATGTTCCTACACCTGCAGCACTTGTTCCTACAGCTGTAGCACAATTTTCTACACCTGCAGCACTTGTTCCTACAGCTGTAGCACGAGTTCCTACACCTGCAGCACTTGTTCCTACAGCTGTAGCACAAGTTCCTACACCTGTAGCACTTTTTTGTACAGCTGTATCACAAGTCCGTACACCTGAAGCACTTGTTCCTACAGCTGCAGCACATGCCACAGTCTCTACCCTTGGCAATGGTGGGAACGAAGCACCTGATGGTGTGGCCACAGCAGCATGCGATGCTGAGGCATTGCAGCAGCGGAGAGCACTGGAGCAGCAGGCATGCGGGCATGGGAGGAGAGGCACTCCCCTGCATGCACCCCATCATCACCCTCACCATTCTGAGCAGGTCCTCCAGCTGCAGCAAGCTGCTGGTGCGGTGGATGGTGGAGGCAGCAGCGATAGCCACAACCACGAGAGGAGTTGGAACACAGAGCTTGCCCCCTCACGCCGTAGCGGCCTGTCTGTGCTCAATAAACGCATGCTCCACAATGCAGGCGGCTCCTTCACCAAAACCAGTGGAGCTACGTCGGACAGTAGGGGCAGCAACGTGTCAACTTACTGCGGCGGCAGCACGAGCAACAGCCTCATATACATTCCTACGACCGACCGAGACAGCAGCATCTGCAGTAGTGGCCCCAGCCTGAGCAGCACAAACAGCCGCTTCTTGGAGCCATGGCAGCATCAAGGCATGGTGGGCCATGGGGGGCACCTGGAACCTTCTGGGGTTGCACGCCTTGAGGAGATGTATGTAGCTCCAGATGGCCTCACCACATGCCATGCTGTGCTGCAGGGTTTTGATGGATTGGAAGCGGTACCAATAGATGTTAATGGGGGTGCAGATTGGTGCGATGACATGGATGTGGTTATGCTTGAATGTGCAAGAGAGATGCTGCTTCGGGACGAGAGGGGAGTATGACATGTTTAAAGCCCTTGGCTATAATTACAAAGTTGGGGCTCACCTGAAACTTCTATTTTTTTTATTTCAGACAAAAAAACCATTCCTTCTTTTTGTTGGAGAAACGATGAGAACACACGCAAAACCAAAAACGAGGGTGAACTTTTTGTTTAACATTCTATAATTGTTATAGCCTCTCCGTGTTCATGTGCTGGCTAGATGTGGCCTTTGATAACGCGATAAACTACAACGCTCTCACTGCACCCCATATGAGACATGACGCAACACCTTAATCATGCAATTCAATGTGTATAGTATTTGTGAAAATCTCTAACTTTGTGTACGCATAAGAAGAAATCTGTAATAATTTGTAAAATGGTGCAGACGACTAAGTATGTAATCTGCAGACACAAGTACTTGAAGTAGAAAATAATACTGGAAGTTGTCAAACATATATGCATACGTTATTATAGGCTAGTGAGGTGTATGCCTTTAGAGATTACAACACACTAGGTTAAAACTACTCTGTACCCTTGTTTCTAATTCATTCCGCTACTCTAAGTTGGCATCAGATTAGGTTAGGTCGGCCTACCCGCTTTCGCCCTAGCCCTAACCCTAGCGCCCCGTCGTACCCTTCTAGCGCCCCGCTGGCCTTAGCGCGCCCCACTGGGCTTAGCGCGCCCCGCTGGCCCCAGCGCCTAGCTGGCCTTAGCACGCCCCGCTGGCCTTAGCGCTCCCCGCAGGCCCTAGCGCCCCGCTGGCCTAAGCGTGCCCCGCTGGCCTTAGCGCCCCGCTGGCCTTAGCACTCTGCTGGCCCTTACGCGCCGAGCTAGCCCCTTCGCGCCCCGCTAGCCCTTCGCGCCCCACCAGCCCAGTTAGCACCCTGCTCGCCCTTCGCGCCCGCTGGCCCCTTACCGCACCCCGCCAGCCCGGTCGCACTCAGCCAGCCCTTTTGCGCCCCCCTGGCCGTTTTGCGCCCCGCTGGCCGTTTGCGACCCGCCAGCCCTTTGCGCCCCGCTGGCCCTTCGCGCCTCCACCAGCCAGTGCGCACCGCTGGCCCCGTTCGCGCCCTGCTGGCCCCTTGCGCCTGCCAGGCCCATTCGAGCTCGCCCTCGTTCCTGCCGTGCCGTGCTGTGCCGTGCCGTGCTGTGCCGTGCTGCCGTGCGGCCGTGACACCGTGGAGCCGTGCCGCTGCGACACCGTTGAGCCGTGCCGCCGTGTCGTCATGCTGTCATGCCGTCGTGCCGCCATGTCGACATGGCGCCGTGCCGCCGTGTTGCAGTGCCGCTGTAGCACCGTGCCGCCGTGCCGCCGTGCTGCCGTGTCGTCGTGCTGTCATGGAGCCGTGCCGCCGTGTCGTCTTGCTGCTGTGCCGTCGTGCCGCCGTGCAGCCGTGGCATCATGGCGCCGTGGAGCTGTGCCACTGTACTGCCGTGCCGCCGTGTGGCTGAGGTCGTGCGATGGCGGACGCTGTGCTCCACCTGGACGCGGAGGGGCGCGCGATTGACTTCGATGCCTAGCTTGTCGACCTTCGTCGTCACCTGACAAGTTAGCACCAGGATGGTTACTCCGTGGCTGTTCATGTCGATGGCTTGCTTCCCCGCCCCTCCGCGCTTGATGCCCTCCCTGCTGACCCCACCACTGCTCAGCGTGAGGCATTTTCTGTTGCTGCGCTCGCTCGCGCTGTCTGGGAGTCACGCGACACCGTCGCGCAGCTTGCCATTAGTCACGCCCTCCCCCTATCTGAGCGTCCCTGCTTTACCGCTGTCGCGAACGCCAAGGAGTTCTTAAATACCATAGTTGCGCGCTACTCTACGCCCGCCTCCGCCTCTGCTGGCCGCCTGATCCTCCCCATGCCGTTCCTTGATCTTGCCGCCTTCCCCACTGTTGCTGACCTAGCCACTCACTTCCGTGCACTAGAGGCTAGCTATCACGCCGCTAGCACTGAGGCCTAGCTCATTGCCTTTCCCCCGCCACTTTGCGCTACCCTTTACTTCATTGCCACGCGCCTTCCGGACCGCTTAGCCACTGCCCGCAACCGCTTCCTTAGTCAGCACTCCATTGATCTCACCCTTACCGCCTTTGTCACTGCCCTGTCCGAACAAGAGACTCGCCAGCGCACTATCGCTCAGTCAAGTGGTACTGCGGCAGTCCCTATCTTTTAGGGCAATGCGTCATTCCAGTGCACGTACGCTGACGTTTCTGCCATTGTTGCTCAGAAAGCCCCTGCCGCTGAGACCGCCGCTGCGGCCTCAGCCCAGCCATGTCAGCGTAGGGGCTGCCACCCTAAGAGGGGGCGTGGGGGAGGTAAGGGTGGTATGGGTGGTGGAGGTAGTGGAGTTGGGGCCGGAGACAGTAGTTCCGACGAGGGGACCGGGGCTGGTCCCCTGGAGCAGTAGCAGCAGCAGAAGCTGCCACACCAGCAGTCGCAGCAGCAGCAGCAGAAGGCGTGGGGCCGCCTCCCGCCGGGGTGGCCCGGTGCCTCTGGTGGCAGTGGCCGCGGTGGCGGCCCTCGCAGCTCGGCGTCGAGCGGCAGCTTCGGCGCTGGGGGTTGCTAGTACTAGCTCCAGACTGGCCCCTTCTGTCACATGATCGAATGTGTCAAGGAAAAGTTGCACTATCGATTGATGCAAGGCGCTTTTAAACTTCCAGAGTACATCAGGTAACCAGGTTTATTTATCCAAAGGGAATAGACCATTCTAGAAATAGAATCACCCTGCGTATAGCCACGCGAGGCTATTGGCTTTAAGGGATTACGACAGAATTACGCTAGATATAGCGCGCCAGTACATCCCGAGCCTAGTCGGTGATATAGTCATAATAACAGGATAAACTAAAGGAGAATGGAATAGGATGAATAGGAAACCAAATGATATGAGATAAAGACCAAATGCATCAAAAGGGAGGGAGGAATAAAATAGATAGGAAATATGCTAAGAGAATAAGTGTAACAGGGTCGTACTCTCACACTTCCCCCCCTCAAAGCTGGGTGGTAGAAGTAACACCCTGCTTGACAAGGTAGTCGCGAAGAGGACGACGAGCGTTACTCATCGCAGATTCAGGAACCCAACTATCATCAGAAGGATCATAACCCTTCCAACGAATGAGAAGCTCCACGGCGCCATTCCGACGACGACGGTGTGCGAGCACGGACTTGACCTCATACTCGGGTTCATCGTGGACGAGGACGGGCGGCGGCGGCGGGGGTTGGCGTCCGCTGAAGATTGTGTTAGGTTCTTGATAGGCCTTCAGAAGTTGGACATGGAAGACGTTTTGAATCTTCCAGGTAGCTGGTAGGCGTAAGAGGAAGGTAACAAGAGTGACCTGTGCTTCGACGATAAAGGGCCCGGATAAGTGAGGTCGCAGTTTGGATGGAAGATGACCGATGTGGAGATTGCGGGTGTCGAGGAGAACCTGGTCTCCCACGGTGATGGTGTGGTCGGTGCGGTGGCGATCGGCATGGCGCTTCTGTTACTGCTGAATGTCGAGCAGGCGCTTGTGGGTCCAATCCCAAAGTTGGTGCATGGTCGTTATGGAGTCGTGCGCGGGTTGGACTGTGGCTGATACTGTCGGTCTTTGTGGCGTGAGCGGGTGGCATCCGTAGCAGAGGAAGAACGACGTTTGTTCAGTAGCGGCGTGAGTGGCGTTGTTGTAGGCAAACTCCAGGATGGGCAGATGCAAGTTCCATTTAGAGATTTCGTCTTTGCATGCGGTGCGGAGGAGTTGCTCTACAATTTGGTTGAGGCGCTTGGTCTGCCCATCTGTCTGAGGATGGTAGGTGGATGACATGGCGAGTTTGGTCCCGAGCAGAGACATCAGCTCCTTCCAAAACTTGCTGGTGAAGTTGGGGTCTCGGTAGGAGATGAGTGTGGATGGAATACCATGTTGCGAGATGATGTAGCAAACAAATAATTGTGCTGTCTCTTCGGTGCGTGCTGTCGTGTGTGTCGGGATGAAGTGTCGCATTTTGGAGAATTTGTCGATGACGACAAGGATTGTGTCATGACCACTCGTGGTTGTTGGTAACCCGGCTATGAAATCCAAGCTAACCACTTGCCGTGGCTGTTCTGGGACAAGAAGAGGCTGTAGCAGTCCTGCCTTTTTCTGCTTGCTGCTCTTCATCCGTTGGCATGTAGCACACGAGGTGACAAATTTCTGAACGTCGTTCGCCATGTGGGGCCAATAGTAGTGCTTTGCAATATCGGTGAACGTCTTGTTGCTACCGAAGTGTCCCGCGTATAGGACATCGTGGTATTCTTCGAGTTGTAACTGGCGCAAAGGAGGGTAATTGGGTACCCAGATTTTCGTGGATCCCTTCCGGTACGCTATGCTACTGTCCCACTGTAGCAGGTGTCGCAATTCTGCCAAAGGAAGTTCGGGATCGATTGCGTACCCGTGTGTGAAGATTCCCTTGAGTAGTGGATTCATCCCTTCGACCTGGATTGCAGCGACGTGTGCAGGCAGGCTGAGAGCGTCTGCTTTGTTTTTGTGGCTGAGCTTGAACACGATGTCATAGTGGAAGTGTGTCTCGAGGAAGTCAATCCACCGGACCTGCCGCCTAAAGAGGGTTGGTTGTGTTTTCAAATATTTTAGGCTGCACTGATTGGTGTCGACGATTGTTTTCCGTCCTTCGAGATAACATCTCCACGTTTTGAAGGCGGTGATAATAGCAAGGTCCTCCTTGTCATGTATCGGATAGTTTAGTTCTGCTTCGTGAGGTAGGCGATGGGTTGTAGGCCATTCCCCTGGTCTTGCATCAAGACTGCTCCCACTGCCTGATCACTAGTGTCAGCTTCGATGACATAGTCGCGTTCGGGGTCTGGCAAGATGAGTACGGGTGCGGACGTGAGTGCTTGTCTCAGCTGCTCCACGGCTTCCTGATGTTGTGGTTCCCACTTTTAGGGCATGTTCTTCTTGAGTAGATTCGTAAGCGGTGTTGCGATTTTCGCGTACTATAGCACGAACGTGTTGTAATAGTTATCGAAGCCTAGGAACTGCTGCAACTCCTTCTCATTCTCGGGTGTCTTTCACGTGCGTGCGGCTTCGATCTTCTTCGGGTCGACAAGAACTCCTTGAGTGCTCACCATGTGT